CAAGCACGCAAGCAAGCAAGCGAACTTAATATAAAGGATTTAATAAAGGATTTTAAAATATTGCCCTTTGGAGGATACGGGCATCGATCCCGTTACCTCTCTCATGCTAAGCGAGCGCTCTACCATCTGAGCTAATCCCCCGCACACTACAACAAGAGCTAACCATACCTCATATAACTAACAACATAACGCAATCGTGTTACCGACCGGTCAAAACGCAAACCATTTTGTTTGCGATTGCAAAAATAACAAAAAAAAATTTCCTAAAAAGTGGAAAATTTTGGAAAAAAATTTTCACGAAAATAAATTGTCACGCACAACGAGTCTGTGTGCAAAATGTTAGCTCGATTGGATCACGGGAAATGGGTTAAAAAACGACCGAAAGATTTGCACGGTCGTAAGCAAGCAAGCAAGTGAACTTAATATAAAGGATTTAAATAAATAGTCTCCATTGTACAGCGTGGGGGCAGGGATTTCATGCCATGTGGTTAGTCAACATTTGCGTCATCATGAAACGGGCGGCGAGAGTCCTCTCGTCCTCTGGCTTGAGATGGCTGCCACCTATGGGTCAGATGATTGCCTGCCACCATTAAGCAATTGGTAATAAAAAAAAAAATTCCCTAAACAGTGTAAAATTTTGGATTTTTTTCACGAAAATTAATTGTCACGAACAACGAGTCTGTGTGCAAAATGTCAGCTCGATTGGATCACGGGAAGTGGGTTAAAAAACGACCGAAAGATTTGCACGGTCGTAAGCAAGCAAGCACGCAAGCAAGCACGCAAGCAAGCAAGTGAACTTAATATAAAGGATTTAATAAAGGATTTTAAAATATTGCCCTTTGGAGGATACGGGCATCGATCCCGTTACCTCTCGCATGCTAAGCGAGCGCTCTACCATCTGAGCTAATCCCCCGCACACTACAACAAGAGCTAACCATACCTCATATAACTAACAACATAACGCAATCGTGTTACCGACCGGTCAAAACGCAAACCATTTTGTTTGCGATTGCAAAAATAAGAAAAAAAAATTTTCCTAAAAGTGTAAAATTTTGGAAAAAAATTTTCACCAAAATAAATTGTCACGCACAACGAGTCTGTGTGCAAAATGTCAGCTCGATTGGATCACGGGAAGTGGGTTAAAAAACGACCGAAAGATTTGCACGGTCGTAAGCAAGCAAGCAAGTGAACTTAATATAAAGGATTTAAATAAATAGTCTCCATTGTACAGCGTGGGGGCAGGGATTTCATGCCATGTGGTTAGTCAACATTTGCGTCATCATGAAACGGGCGGCGAGAGTCCTCTCGTCCTCTGGCTTGAGATGGCTGCCACCTATGGGTCAGATGATTGCCTGCCACCATTAAGCAATTGGTAATTAAAAAAAAATTCCCTAAACAGTGTAAAATTTTGGATTTTTTTCACGAAAATTAATTGTCACGAACAACGAGTCTGTGTGCAAAATGTTAGCTCGATTGGATCACGGGAAGTGGGTTAAAAAACGACCGAAAGATTTGCACGGTCGTAAGCAAGCAAGCACGCAAGCAAGCAAGTGAACTTAATATAAAGGATTTAATAAAGGATTTTAAAATATTGCCCTTTGGAGGATACGGGCATCGATCCCGTTACCTCTCGCATGCTAAGCGAGCGCTCTACCATCTGAGCTAATCCCCCACACACTACACCAAGAGCTAACCATACCTCATATAACTAACAACATAACGCAATCGTGTTACCGACCGGTCAAAACGCAAACCATTTTGTTTGCGATGGCAAAAATAAGAAAAAAAATGTTTTCCTAAAAAGTAGAAAATTTTGGAAAAAAATTTTCACGAAAATAAATTGTCACGCACAACGAGTCTGTGTGCAAAATGTCAGCTCGATTGGATCACGGGAAATTGGTTAAAAAACGACCGAAAGATTTGCACTGTCGAAAGCAAGCAAGCAAGTGAACTTAATATAAAGGATTTAAATAAATAGTCTCCATTGTACAGCGTGGGTGCAGGGATTTCATGCCATGTGGTTGGTCAACATTTGCGTCATCATGAAACGGGCGGCTCAAGTCATCTCGTCCTCTGGCTTGAGATGGCTGCCACCTATGGGTCAGATGATTGTCTGCCACGATTAAGCAATTGGTAATTACATTTTTTTTCCCCTAAACAGTGTAAAATTTTGGATTTTTTTCACGAAAATTAATTGTCACGCACAACGAGTCTGTGTGCAAAATGTCAGCTCGATTGGATCACGGGAAGTGGGTTAAAAAACGACCGAAAGATTTGCACGGTCGTAAGCAAGCAAGCAAGTGAACTTAATATAAAGGATTTAATGAAGGATTTAAAAATATTAGCCTTTGGAGGATACGGGCATCGATCCCGTTACCTCTCGCATGCTAAGCGAGCGCTCTACCATCTGAGCTAATCCCCCGCACACTACAACAAGAGCTAACCATACCTCATATAACTAACAACATAACGCAATCGTGTTACCGACCGGTCAAAACGCAAACCATTTTGTTTGCGATTGCAAAAATAAGAAAAACATTTTTTCCTAAAAAGTAGAAAATTTTGGAAAAAAATTTTCACGAAAATAAATTGTCACGCACAACGAGTCTGTGTGCAAAATGTCAGCTCGATTGGATCACGGGAAGTGGGTTAAAAAACGACCGAAAGATTTGCACGGTCGTAAAGCAAGCAAGCAAGTGAACTTAATATAAAGGATTTAAATAAATCGTCTCCATTGTACAGCGTGGGGGCAGGGATTTCATGCCATGTGGTTGGTCAACATTTGCGTCATCATGAAACGGGCGGCTCGAGTCATCTCGTCCTCTGGCTTGAGATGGCTGCCACCTATGGGTCAGATGATTGTCTGCCACGATTAAGCAATTGGTAATTAACATTTTTTTTCCCTAAACAGTGTAAAATTTTGGATTTTTTTCACAAAAATTAATTGTCACGCACAACGAGTCTGTGTGCAAAATGTCAGCTCGATTGGATCACGGGAAGTGGGTTAAAAAACGACCGAAAAATTTGCAAGGTCGTAAGCAAGCAAGCAAGTGAACTTAATATAAAGGATTTAATGAATGATTTAAAAATATTAGCCTTTGGAGGATACGGGCATCGATCCCGTTACCTCTCACATGCTAAGCGAGCGCTCTACCATCTGAGCTAATCCCCCGCACACTACAACAAGAGCTAACCATACCTCATATAACTAACAACATAACGCAATCGTGTTACCGACCCGTCAAAACGCAAACCATTTTGTTTGCGATTGCAAAAATAAGAAAAACATTTTTTCCTAAAAAGTAGAAAATTTTGGAAAAAATTTTTCACGAAAATAAATTGTCACGCACAACGAGTCTGTGTGCAAAATGTCAGCTCGATTGGATCACGGGAAGTGGGTTAAAAAACGACCGAAAGATTTGCACGGTCGAAAGCAAGCAAGCAAGTGAACTTAATGTAAAGGATTTAAATAAATAGTCTCCATTGTACAGCGTGGGGGCAGGGATTTCATGCCATGTGGTTAGTCAACATTTGCGTCATCATGAAACGGGCGGCTCGAGTCATCTCGTCCTCTGGCTTGAGATGGCTGCCACCTATGGGTCAGATGATTGTCTGCCACGATTAAGCAATTGGTAATTACATTTTTTTTCCCATAAACAGTGTAAAATTTTGGATTTTTTTCACAAACATTAATTGTCACGCACAACGAGTCTGTGTGCAAAATATCAGCTCGATTGGATCACGGGAAGTGGGTTAAAAAACGACCGAAAGATTTGCACGGTCGTAAGCAAGCAAGCAAGTGAACTTAATATAAAGGATTTAATGAAGGATTTAAAAATATTAGCCTTTGGAGGATACGGGCATCGATCCCGTTACCTCTCGCATGCTAAGCGAGCGCTCTACCATCTGAGCTAATCCCCCGCACACCACAACACGAGCTAACCATACCTCATATAACTAACAACATAACGCAATCGTGTTACCGACCGGTCAAAACGCAAACCATTTTGTTTGCGATTGCAAAAATAAGAAAAACATTTTTCCTAAAAAGTAGAAAATTTGGAAAAAAATTTTCACGAAAATAAATTGTCACGCACAACGAGTCTGTGTGCAAAATGTCAGCTCGATTGGATAACGGGAAGTGGGTTAAAAAACGACCAAAAGATTTGCACGGTCGTAAGCAAGCAAGCAAGTGAACTTAATATAAAGGATTTAATGAAGGATTTAAAAATATTAGCCTTTGGAGGATACGGGCATCGATCCCGTTACCTCTCGCATGCTAAGCGAGCGCTCTACCATCTGAGCTAATCCCCCGCACACCACAACAAGAGCTAACCATACCTCATATAACTAACAACATAACGCAATCGTGTTACCGACCGGTCAAAACGCAAACCATTTTGTTTGCGATTGCAAAAATAACAAAAAAAAATTTCCTAAAAAGTGGAAAATTTTGGAAAAAAATTTTCACGAAAATACATTGTCACGCACAACGAGTCTGTGTGCAAAATGTCAGCTCGATTGGATCACGGGAAATGGGTTAAAAAACGACCGAAAGATTTGCACGGTCGTAAGCAAGCAAGCAAGTGAACTTAATATAAAGGATTTAAATAAATAGTCTCCATTGTACAGCGTGGGGGCAGGGATTTCATGCCATGTGGTTAGTCAACATTTGCGTCATCATGAAACGGGCGGCGAGAGTCCTCTCGTCCTCTGGCTTGAGATGGCTGCCACCTATGGGTCAGATGATTGCCTGCCACCATTAAGCAATTGGTAATAAAAAAAAAATTCCCTAAACAGTGTAAAATTTTGGATTTTTTTCACGAAAATTAATTGTCACGAACAACGAGTCTGTGTGCAAAATGTCAGCTCGATTGGATCACGGGAAGTGGGTTAAAAAACGACCGAAAGATTTGCACGGTCGTAAGCAAGCAAGCACGCAAGCAAGCACGCAAGCAAGCAAGTGAACTTAATATAAAGGATTTTAAAATATTGCCCTTTGGAGGATACGGGCATCGATCCCGTTACCTCTCGCATGCAAAGCGAGCGCTCTTACCATCTGAGCTAATCCCCCGCACACTACAACAAGAGCTAACCATACCTCATATAACTAACAACATAACGCAATCGTGTTACCGACCGGTCAAAACGCAAACCATTTTGTTTGCGATTGCAAAAATAACAAAAACATTTTTCCTAAAAAGTGGAAAATTTTTGAAAAAAATTTTCACGAAAATAAATTGTCACGCACAACGAGTCTGTGTGCAAAATGTCAGCTCGATTGGATCACGGGAAGTGGGTTAAAAAACGACAGAAAGATTTGCACGGTCGTAAGCAAGCAAGCAAGTGAACTTAATATAAAGGATTTAAATAAATAGTCTCCATTGTACAGCGTGGGGGCAGGGATTTCATGCCATGTGGTTAGTCAACATTTGCGTCATCATGAAACGGGCGGCGAGAGTCCTCTCGTCCTCTGGCTTGAGATGGCTGCCACCTATGGGTCAGATGATTGCCTGCCACCATTAAGCAATTGGTAATTAAATATTTTTTTCCCTAAACAGTGTAAAATTTTGGATTTTTTTCACAAAAATTAATTGTCACGAACAACGAGTCTGTGTGCAAAATGTCAGCTCGATTGGATCACGGGAAGTGGGTTAAAAAACGACCGAAAGATTTGCACGGTCGTAAGCAAGCAAGCAAGTGAACTTAATATAAAGGATTTAATGAAGGATTTAAAAATATTAGCCTTTGGAGGATACGGGCATCGATCCCGTTACCTCTCGCATGCTAAGCGAGCGCTCTACCATCTGAGCTAATCCCCCGCACACTACAACAAGATCTAACCATACCTCATATAACTAACAACATAACGCAATCGTGTTACCGACCGGTCAAAACGCAAACCATTTTGTTTGCGATTGCAAAAATAAGAAAAACATTTTTCCTAAAAAGTAGAAAATTTGGAAAAAAATTTTCACGAAAATAAATTGTCACGCACAACGAGTCTGTGTGCAAAATGTCAGCTCGATTGGATAACGGGAAGTGGGTTAAAAAACGACCAAAAGATTTGCACGGTCGTAAGCAAGCAAGCAAGTGAACTTAATGTAAAGGATTTAAATAAATAGTCTCCATTGTACAGCGTGGGGGCAGGGATTTCATGCCATGTGGTTAGTCAACATTTGCGTCATCATGAAACGGGCGGCTCGAGTCATCTCGTCCTCTGGCTTGAGATGGCTGCCACCTATGGGTCAGATGATTGTCTGCCACCGATTAAGCAATTGGTAATTAAAATTTTTTTCCCTAAACAGTGTAAAATTTTGGATTTTTTTCACGAAAATTAATTGTCACGCACAACGAGTCTGTGTGCAAAATGTCAGCTCGATTGGATCACGGGAAGTGGGTTAAAAAACGACCGAAAGATTTGCACGGTCGTAAGCAAGCAAGCAAGCACGCAAGCAAGCAAGTGAACTTAATATAAAGGATTTTAAAATATTGCCCTTTGGAGGATACGGGCATCGATCCCGTTACCTCTCGCATGCTAAGCGAGCGCTCTACCATCTGAGCTAATCCCCCGCACACTACAACAAGAGCTAACCATACCTCATATAACTAACAACATAACGCAATCGTGTTACCGACCGGTCAAAACGCAAACCATTTTGTTTGCGATTGCAAAAATAAGAAAAAAAATTTTTCCTAAAAAGTGTACAATTTTGGAAAAAAATTTTCACCAAAATAAATTGTCACGCACAACGAGTCTGTGTGCAAAATGTCAGCTCGATTGGATCACGGGAAGTGGGTTAAAAAACGACCGAAAGATTTGCACGGTCATAAGCAAGCAAGCAAGTGAACTTAATTTAAAGGATTTAAATAAATAGTCTCCATTGTACAGCGTGGGGGCAGGGATTTTATGCCATGTGGTTAGTCGACATTTGCGTCATCATGAAACGGGCGGCGAGAGTCCTCTCGTCCTCTGGCTTGAGATGGCTGCCACCTATGGGTCAGATGATTGCCTGCCACCATCAAGCAATTGGTAATAAAAAAAAATTTCCCTAAACAGTGTAAAATTTTTTTATTTTTTTCACGAAAATTAATTGTCACGAACAACGAGTCTGTGTGCAAAATGTCAGCTCGATTGGATCACGGGAAGTGGGTTAAAGAACGACCGAAAGATTTGCACGGTCGTAAGCAAGCAAGCAAGTGAACTTAATGTAAAGGATTTAAATAAATAGTCTCCATTGTACAGCGTGGGGGCAGGGATTTCATGCCATGTGGTTAGTCAACATTTGCGTCATCATGAAACGGGCGGCTCGAGTCATCTCGTCCTCTGGCTTGAGATGGCTGCCACCTATGGGTCAGATGATTGTCTGCCACGATTAAGCAATTGGTAATTACATTTTTTTCCCCATAAACAGTGTAAAATTTTGGATTTTTTTCACAAACATTAATTGTCACGCACAACGAGTCTGTGTGCAAAATATCAGCTCGATTGGATCACGGGAAGTGGGTTAAAAAACGACCGAAAGATTTGCACGGTCGTAAGCAAGCAAGCAAGTGAACTTAATATAAAGGATTTAATGAAGGATTTAAAAATATTAGCCTTTGGAGGATACGGGCATCGATCCCGTTACCTCTCGCATGCTAAGCGAGCGCTCTACCATCTGAGCTAATCCCCCGCACACCACAACAAGAGCTAACCATACCTCATATAACTAACAACATAACGCAATCGTGTTACCGACCGGTCAAAACGCAAACCATTTTGTTTGCGATTGCAAAAATAACAAAAACATTTTTTCCTAAAAAGTGGAAAATTTTGGAAAAAATTTTCACGAAAATAAATTGTCACGCACAACGAGTCTGTGTGCAAAATGTCAGCTCGATTGGATCACGGGAAGTGGGTTAAAAAACGACCGAAAGATTTGCACGGTCGTAAGCAAGCAAGCAAGTGAACTTAATATAAAGGATTTAAATAAATAGTCTCCATTGTACAGCGTGGGGGCAGGGATTTCATGCCATGTGGTTAGTCAACATTTGCGTCATCATGAAACGGGCGGCGAGAGTCCTCTCGTCCTCTGGCTTGAGATGGCTGCCACCTATGGGTCAGATGATTGCCTGCCACCATTAAGCAATTGGTAATAAAAAAAAAATTCCCTAAACAGTGTAAAATTTTGGATTTTTTTCACGAAAATTAATTGTCACGAACAACGAGTCTGTGTGCAAAATGTCAGCTCGATTGGATCACGGGAAGTGGGTTAAAAAACGACCGAAAGATTTGCACGGTCGTAAGCAAGCAAGCACGCAAGCAAGCACGCAAGCAAGCAAGTGAACTTAATATAAAGGATTTAATAAAGGATTTTAAAACATTGCCCTTTGGAGGATACGGGCATCGATCCCGTTACCTCTCGCATGCTAAGCGAGCGCTCTACCATCTGAGCTAATCCCCCGCACACTACAACAAGAGCTAACCATACCTCATATAACTAACAACATAACGCAATCGTGTTACCGACCGGTCAAAACGCAAACCATTTTGTTTGCGATTGCAAAAATAACAAAAACATTTTTTCCTAAAAAGTGGAAAATTTTGGAAAAAATTTTCACGAAAATAAATTGTCACGCACAACGAGTCTGTGTGCAAAATGTCAGCTCGATTGGATCACGGGAAGTGGGTTAAAAAACGACCGAAAGATTTGCACGGTCGTAAGCAAGCAAGCAAGTGAACTTAATATAAAGGATTTAAATAAATAGTCTCCATTGTACAGCGTGGGGGCAGGGATTTCATGCCATGTGGTTAGTCAACATTTGCGTCATCATGAAACGGGCGGCGAGAGTCCTCTCGTCCTCTGGCTTGAGATGGCTGCCACCTATGGGTCAGATGATTGCCTGCCACCATTAAGCAATTGGTAATTAAATATTTTTTTTCCCTAAACAGTGTAAAATTTTGGATTTTTTTCACAAAAATAATTGTCACGCACAACGAGTCTGTGTGCAAAATGTCAGCTCGATTGGATCACGGGAAGTGGGTTAAAAAACGACCGAAAGATTTGCACGGTCGTAAGCAAGCAAGCAAGTGAACTTAATATAAAGGATTTAATGAAGGATTTAAAAATATTAGCCTTTGGAGGATACGGGCATCGATCCCGTTACCTCTCGCATGCTAAGCGAGCGCTCTACCATCTGAGCTAATCCCCCGCACACTACAACAAGATTTAACCATACCTCATATAACTAACAACATAACGCAATCGTGTTACCGACCGGTCAAAACGCAAACCATTTTGTTTGCGATTGCAAAAATAAGAAAAACATTTTTCCTAAAAAGTAGAAAATTTGGAAAAAAATTTTCACGAAAATAAATTGTCACGCACAACGAGTCTGTGTGCAAAATGTCAGCTCGATTGGATAACGGGAAGTGGGTTAAAAAACGACCAAAAGATTTGCACGGTCGTAAGCAAGCAAGCAAGTGAACTTAATATAAAGGATTTAATGAAGGATTTAAAAATATTAGCCTTTGGAGGATACGGGCATCGATCCCGTTACCTCTCGCAAGCTAAGCGAGCGCTCTACCATCTGAGCTAATCCCCCGCACACCACAACAAGAGCTAACCATACCTCATATAACTAACAACATAACGCAATCGTGTTACCGACCGGTCAAAACGCAAACCATTTTGTTTGCGATTGCAAAAATAACAAAAAAATTTTCCTAAAAAGTGGAAAATTTTGGAAAAAATTTTTCACGAAAATAAATTGTCACGCACAACGAGTCTGTGTGCAAAATGTCAGCTCGATTGGATCACGGGAAATGGGTTAAAAAACGACCGAAAGATTTGCACGGTCGTAAGCAAGCAAGCAAGTGAACTTAATATAAAGGATTTAAATAAATAGTCTCCATTGTACAGCGTGGGGGCAGGGATTTCATGCCATGTGGTTAGTCAACATTTGCGTCATCATGAAACGGGCGGCGAGAGTCCTCTCGTCCTCTGGCTTGAGATGGCTGCCACCTATGGGTCAGATGATTGCCTGCCACCATTAAGCAATTGGTAATAAAAAAAAAATTCCCTAAACAGT